CAAAAGAAGATTTAAGAATGGCAGATAAGCCCGTGAAGTATGTCCAACATCATTAGTGCAAGTTAAAACTACAGTGAGATACCACTACACGCCTACTAGAATGTCAGAATAAACCCACATCTGAAGAGGTATCCCCCTTTCCTTCCTGCCTTTGAGCTTTTTGTGTGAAGATTTAAAGCATGGAGCATCTTGTAACCCTGATGAGAAAGTAAAGAAAATCACAGAGATGCTGAATATTGGAGGAAAAATTAAAAATAAGATCTTCTGCCAACTCAGAAATTCCCCTCCATAAATGTGGAAAACAAAGGAAATAGTTTTATTATTGAATAAACATTCAGTCAGACTGCAGTTTCTATCACAGACAATCCGCTAAAGAGATTGCAAAGACAGAAAGAAATTGTACCTTTCTGTATAGTCGGTAGATACAGTCCATTACAGACATGTTCTCAGAATAAAGGATAACTTGTCCCCGTGTAAAGTACTTGACAGCACAATTTGCTGTATAGCGTTCATCATAAATTCATGTAGTAATTGGAGTGGCCATCTGTGTTAGTTAATTGCCTTTACCCAAAGGAAAAAATAAAACCTCTTCTCCTTTATGACAAGTAGATAGTTATAGCTTAGAGCAAGGCATCTAGGCTAAACTCCACTGGGACAGGGAGATAGGGATCCTATCTTCCTTGATGTTTCATTTCAAAGATATGGCCCCCAGACCTTTAAGGAAAACATTTCTGGATTGTAAAGTTGGCAAGGGGCTTGGTTAGCTTTTAAAAAGATTTACATACATATCAAAAGGACAGAGGAAGAATTTACAATTACAAGTTTTCTCCAGGCAGTGCTCTAAAAGAGTGAAGGGGAAAGGTCTCTTTCCCTTTTGGCATTGGGGGAAAAAGAAAAATTTTTTTTTTTTTTCTTCATTTACCCTTCGTTACACAACCCAGAGCTCTGACATTGTTTCTCTGCTGAAGTAACCAACTTTTGTTACCGTCTGCCTCTGGGCTTTTTGTTATTGGCGTTAATAAACCTGTTGTTTATATTAGTTTTAGGTATATTCTGTACCATATAGGGGCGTGGAGATTAAGAGCTCTCCTGGTGGCGCAGAGATTAAGAGCTAGCTGCTAACCAAAAGGTTGACAGTTTGAATCGACCAGTGGCTCCTTGGAAACCCTGTGAGTTGTTATGAGTCGGAATTGACTCGATGACAATGGGTTTGCTTCTTGGTTTGGTTATAGGGAAAATCATCCTAAGTTTTTCAGCCTTTACAGGCAGAGGAAAATTAATTCTTCCCAGCTGCGTTACAGCTGAAGACAAAGGCTAAATAAACCATTGCAACATACGAGAAATGTGTGCTTCCTCCAGTTTATCTTAAAAATTCATATATATTTAGCATTTGAGTTAGTAATACATTAATGTTTGTTTCAAACTTTTTTCTTACCCCCTTGCTCCGTCCAGGAAACTTTCAATATTTGAGAAAGAATGTGGGGAAGGGCAGAGAGGAAGATCTTTTGGAGAGGTTAATTATATGTTTTTAATGCATCATCTTTTAGAATATAATTTCCACAGAGTATCTTCAACTTAATTTGATAGCTTTCTTGTGAGTCCATTCCAGAAGACATTATATTTAGACATTAGAACTATAAATGAAATGGAAGTTTTAAGTATAGTATTTTTAAAACAATCTTAAATATATAATTCTTAATGCAAGCCTTTTTAGACTTGTGACACTCATCCATAATGCTCGGAGTATTTCCACTGGTGGTTTTGAGAAAGAGTAAATGAGTCATTACGACTGTTAAAGGGCTAAGAACACAGTAACTTGGTGGTCAGTTCTTTAGCCTTACCAGTTCTCGGTAGACACCTTACTGCTTCTTTTCAGATTTGTTTGACTTTTCTTTCTGTAAAACTTTTCTATTTCAGTTACCACCAGCACTCTGTTGAGATGAGTTCTAGCACTACTGCTTCCTCTGAATGTCTTGGTCTTTAGATAAGAGAAAAATAAAAGGAATGTAAGTGAACAGCATTTAAAAACAGCTCTAAAAAGTAAGCAACCATTAAAAAACATCTAGTAAAACTGAAGTAATTAGAAGCACATTCTTTTTATATACCTACAGGCTTTTGTCAGTGCCGTTTTGTCATCTATTATCTCTGACTTTTGAACTATAGTTTTTAAAAGTAATTCTTACTAGAGAAAAAAATTTAATAGTCTGAGAGAGAATTTAGATTATAGACTTTTTCTCAGCTTTCACAGAAAAGACTGTGCATCACCAGCTGTTCTGTTTTTTAAATCTAGATAAAAAATTTTAAATTTGAATCAGTAATAGTATACCAGTGTAATGGACATCCATTTCTGAATGAATAATCCAAAGTTAAAAAGAGTTATTAGCCTTATTACTTTAGTTTGAGACACTGATTTTTTTAAATAAATTTTTAAGTATATAAAAAATTTAATGTCAGCTCCTGCTCCCTAGGGATTATTTGGCTCTCTGAGAAGTGATCAGTCTTGTTCTGAACTCCCAGGACCAAGCAACAGTAGTTAAGGTTTATTGCTATCATGGACGGTAGGGATGATAGTTGTACTAGGTTTTTAGGGCTGCCATAACAATTTACCACAAACTCGGTGGCTTAAAACAACAGAAGTTTATCCTCTCACAATTCTAGAAGCCAAAAGTCCAAAATCAAGCCCTCCGAAGGCTCTAGGGGAGAGTCCTTCTTTGCCTCTTCCAGCTTCTGGGGACTCCTGGTATTCCTTGGCTTGTGGCAGCATAACTTAAATCTTTGTCTCTGTCTTCAAATGTCCTTCTTTCCTGTGTGTCTCTGTGTCCAAATTTCCCACTCCTTTCTCTTATAAAGACACTAGTCATTGGATTTAGGGCCTGTCCTAAATCCAGGAAGATTTCATCTCAAGATCCTTGACTATATCTGTAACAATGCTATTTCCAAATAAGGTCACATTCTGAGGTCCCATGTGGATGTGAATTTTGGAGGCACTATTTAACCCACAATGATCCCCGAGTGGTGCAAACAGTTAAGCACTTGACTGCTAGCCAGAAGGTTCCAGAGGTGCCTCGGAAGATAGACCTGGCAACCTGCTTCCAAAGAGTCACAGCCTGAAAACTCCATGGAGCAGTTCTACCCTGCACACATGGGATCACCATGAGTCGGAATTGACTCCATGGCAGCTAACAACAGTGTTCAACCCACCCCAGTAGTATTTAATTAAAATTCTTCCATTAAAGGATGGTTTAAAAATAATGGAATCCATGGGTAGTGCAAACAGTTAACATGCGCAGCTGCTAACCAAAAGGTTGGAGGATCAGTTCTACCCAGAGGCACCTCAAAAGAAAGGCCTGGTGATCTACATCTGAAAAATCAGCCATTGAAAACTATGGAGCACGGTTCTATTCTGAAACACATGGGATCACAGTGAGTTGGAATCAACTCAGTGGCAACTCGTGTTTTTTGTTTTTTGTTTTTAATAATAGTGACACTATTTGTTATGTATAACTTTCCCATTCATTATCTTATTGATTTTTGTAACATTTGTTTGCTTGAGGTACTTCCATGGCATCCCCCATGGAAAGGAATGATTTTGGAGGAAACGTTAGCATTTTCTTTCTCCAATCTTTCACTTATTCTTCCCCACAAGTGATAAAAAACTGGGGAGAGCTAGACATCTATTAGCCCACTTTTAACTTAGAGGCAGGGGCACTGCATGGAATTGTACTCAACATAGTTCTCCTGGACATGTCTGTGCCTAGGACACCCAAGAGCTTCAGCTTCTGGTCTCCATACAGTAAGCATACCAAGCATGGTCTTCTGCTATGTCCAACCAAGTGTTTCTTGGTTTTGTTTTGTTTTTCATTTTTCATTTCCAGCCTCTCCGCCTGCAACCTTGTAAATAAATCAGAGTCAAGCACATCTCACGGTCAGGAGTCAAGGAGTGAGATAGGAAGCCCTGTTACTCTCCAGTCCAGCTTTACCAGTAATAGTGTGGCTATGTAATCCCCATTTACCTCAGGTCTATATGTTTTTACTCTATCATCCAAAACTATAACAGTAATCTGAAAACGATATTGATAATCCTATCTTAAAAATAAAGAAACTTAGGTTAAAACAAGTGTAAAGGAATTCTTCGCTGAGGCCTTCACTGAGGCTGTCTGAGGCCCAGCTAGTCATTACCAAGGTCAAGAGTCAGAACCCAGATTTCCTGACTCTGTCTAGTTGTTTTTTGTACTTTGATGACCACCTAGTAGGATTCAGAATAGAATTTGCCCAACATTTTAGGTAAGAATCATTGTGTACGTTGACTCTATCATTTTTAATTTCTAAATGACCATTGTGGCTTGAAGTGTGGTTGGAGCAGTCAGGAATCACTTGCCTTCATATAAATAGTGCTATTACCCATTAAGAATGATTAATAAATTATTAAACCTCCCATAAAACTGTAACGTTTCTAACAAAGCCCTCTGAAACCTTTATTTAACAGCTTGGAGTACCTGCTCTAAGAACTGCAAAAAAATTTAATGTATTCAGAGGAGTCATGCAAAAGTTCTTGCTATGTCCAAATAATGTACTTTACTTATTTCCTTCAATGTTTATGAATAAATGTGAATTAATTTTTAGTTGTATTCAAGCCAGAACATCTTATTCATGATTTTTAAAAGAACTACTTTGAAAAATTATGGAATGGTTTGTTTTATATCATTTTATAGCATTGCTGTTTTATGTGTTTCAAATAGGTATGTGAGTTTTTTTTTTTTTTTTAATTGTCTTACCAGGACTGGTTGTGCATCTTACTGGATTTTCCCTTCTAGAACACATTGTTTTTGTGTTTTAGTTCATTTGGGTGACTGAGATTCAGACCTAGGTTCTGTGATGTCTTTTTATCAAAGCTGCTCAAAATAGGTTGTTGGTTTCCTCTGCCATTATAATGGAGATGTCTTGATACTCTTGTTGAATACTAACTGACGCTCATCCCTCCCCCCTCCCCTTATTTTCAGATATTTGTACCTGCTGTTTTCCGGTGATGACCTTTTACCTTTAGACCACTGGGTGTTTAATACAGAGGCTCACCCTCTGCCTGTGTTACATTTAGCCAACACCACACTTTCAGGAAATCCTGCTGTTCGATGAAAGCGGCTCCAGAAGGACCATTCTCACCTGTGTTTTGTTTACATGGACCACTGCAGAAACACGCTGAAGAGGGGGCTTTTGAAAACCCGGACCTCTTAAGTCAACGTGGTACAGTGAAAAGTGACTCTTCCCCTCAAGACTTTTCAACTTGTAGGTACATCAACTTTGAGATTATTCCATTTTATACCTGACCAAAACATGTTCCAGTACGTGTAGGACAGGGACCTGCTATGCTTTGATTCTTAATGGGATGGTCACATGAGAGATGATGCCGATTACTACTCCATTATTTGTAGAGTCCTGGAGTCTGGAGGCTAGACTTCCTAAGAACAAGCCAGGACTATGGAGCACCTTGCAGGAGTTGGAGATGGCCTTTGGAACCAGTTATATATTTGTTTTCTCCCACATGGAGCAGCTTTCAAATCAAATATTTACACATTGTTTAATCCCTTTCTTCATTTTAATAATGGAATAAGGCAAACAAGAACAGTATAACTGTATCAGCAGCAAGAAGATTTGAAAAAGAAACAGAAGTACCTATCCCTGTCTGATTTTCAGGTTCCCCATTGGGTGACCAGACTGGCAGCCTTTTCAAATCCCAATCTATTTCATTAAAATTTCTTGGTTAAATTTAAATTTCTCTGCGGGCATGATCTCACAAAGAATACTGCTGAAGTTTTTGTCTCCATATGGAATCATGAAAAGTGTTTTTTATCATAACCACTACTTAGGAGCCTGGGTTTGGGATTTTGTGCATGTCGTTCAGTATAGTGTTGGTAGCATGACAAAAAGTGGGAAAAATGCCATGGTCCGTTGCCTTGAAACCTGTTCCAAGAGAAAGCCTTGGTTTTGCTGGTAGGAGATTATTTTTTCTAAACCAGCAAATCTACCAAGTAAATTTTATCCACTTTAACCTTATTATAAATTTAGTACAGTTACTCAACTTACAACTTTATTTATGTGGCTTGACAAAATGTACTGTATTATTATGTGGCTCTGGATTTGCCTTGATGAGCCAAATTACTATTACAAATTATTAAATCAAAAACAAAACCCTTAGATATTCCAACTGGAATGTGGATACGGGATCCTTTAATTATTATCTCATCAGATGAGTGAGCTTTTAAAAAATATTTTCTGTAAAAATAAATTCAACTTTTATTTTTTGTGAGGATATTAATTATTCCAAAGAATTAATCAGAAAGCTTCAAAATAATTTTCAGTGATAAAAGTGTGGTGCAATTAATCATGTTACATGTAATTGGGGATATGTCTAAGGAACTTTCTCTTACCATCGGTAGGTTTTGCAGTGATACTTCTTTTAAAAGAAGTTTCTAGTTCTTTATATTTGGAGCGGGGGAGAACTTAAATTTTCTCAAGAACTGTAATATAAATGTCTAATGCTTATGAATTTTGTCAAAATGTAGGATACTCATTTTCTTCTTTCAGTTAATACAAACAGCTGCCATTGACATTAATGAAAGTTGGGAACAGTACAATTCATCTAATATTTACTCTGAATTTCAAGATTTTATGAAAATATTTGTGCAAGAGCCAACCTTGGAATTCTGAAATCTTATTTCCTTATTTTGGCAGCTTTTCTTTTTAATGATCTATTAGCATATAGTAGATTTAAATTGGGAAAAGATTTAATAAATTAACATAATTAAATGTTTCCTAAGGTTGATCATCTTATACCACAAATAGTGAAGAAATCAACACAGTTCAACAAATGATCCATAAATGATAGCCACCTCAAATTTTTTCAGTATACATAGAAAATAAGAGTGTATTGCCAGTTGCATTCTTTAAGTCATTAAGAGTTAAATTTTAGCACGTATTTTGAAATTGCGATATCTTTTACTACTTGAAAAAATAACTTTTTAAAATGAGAAGGGTAGAGCACTTTAATATGACTTTTGAAGAAAAAGGGAAAGTGGTTCTCCAAAAAAAAGTTAGCCTTCCTCCTAAAAATAGCACAAGCCCATTTATGAGTCATTGAAGAAAAGTGAAAAACCAGTCTGGCAAAGGCCCAGAGCAGCTGTGCTAATGGCAGTGAACTGTTCCCCACTTTGCTTTAGGAAAATGCAGAGTCAAAGCACCTTCATGGTTCCCCAGGAACTTCTCACGTGATGAGGAGACAGAACCTCCCCTTCCCAACTAGTCTGTTTGTATTATTTGGATAACTGGAGCTTAAAAGAGAAGGCAAGAAGTGTCCAAGCGGGACCAGTTCTGGTATAAGCAAAGAATTTGAGCCCAGAGAAAGGGTTTTCATCACCACCCCCCTACCTTCTTTGTGATGATGAGAAGACTAGAGCTATAACAATGCTTTATTTTTTCTTCTCTGAATACCAAAGGCAATTAAAGTCGGCTACAAATGATTTGCCAGTGTTACGTTTATTTTTGTGATACTTTGAAATTATTTCCTCCAAAATCAATCCTTATCCTGTATTCTGCTTAGTTTCTAAGAGTATTTTTTACTTCCTTCTGTTCTTTACAGGCCTTTGCATTTGTAGAACTTACTACTCAGGATAAATACTTACTGAATTTCTAAGACCTTCTGCAAAGAGCCCAGAAATGCTCCTTTCCAGTTGCCTCTTCAGAGAGCTGACACCTAACCTTATGCCTTTGGCGCAAATGTGCAGAATAGATCAATTGGGACATAAAGAAAAAAAAAAAAACCCGCTAGCTTGTACATTTATTTCTCTTCATTTTGGAGTCACACTTTTGGTTCAACCCTGATTTTTTTAATTATTATTATTACTCAACCAGTATAAAGTTGTTAAAACCAAGAGAATGCAGCCCTAACCAAAAAGAAGTCTCAGTACAGAGAATACAGCCCCAGTCAGGGGGTTCTTACTTTCTGGTGGGTTGCATGTATATGTCGTTTTTCTTGCACGAACTTATTCCTATCTTTGAGCAGATGTTTATATGTAAAAGTAAAACCTGGGTATTGAAAAAATGTGTCCTTTTTGTGGACTATTGACCTGGAATCTGTATGATGTCATCTAGGGCAACCCAAGGCTTCACTTGGTAGATTTTACCCATGCAGTTTGAAATTTTGGCCATCAACCTCACATCTTCTCCATTCTCCATTGCCAAAGTCTTGTCAAAACTAGGAATTTGTTGGTAAAAGATTATGCTTGCCATTCTCATTATGTTGTTTCTCCTCAAGCCTGGGTTTCTTTGAGTGCATGAGAGAATGAGTGAACAAACATTGATGGAGTACCTAATATGTCAAGCATTACGGTAGGCACTTTCAAACATTAGATAGAATATTTTATCTGATTCCAGTGGCATTTTCTGTATGAGAATAATTCATACCATTTAAAATGTTTTCCAGTGTGAATCATGGTACAAAATCCTTAATTTTATATTTCACTAAATTAAAGAGAAAAGAAAAGGTTTATAATATATTTTAATCAATGTATTACTGTATAATACTAACAGCTATAATTGTAGTTAATAACTAAAATTTTTTGGGAAATGTCAAAGAAATAGTTTCTGAAGCAACTTGGACTAAAATATTTACTTTAGAAATAAAAGCATTCTTATTTTGCTATATCACTTCACATTATTAAAAATGTTTTATAGATGTGCCAGTTATTTGATATTAAAAAAAAATTTTGTCAAAATTCACGAGTAACAACTTGCAGTTGTAAATTGTTTTTGCTCTGGTATGGGTCCTATAATAGTCCCATGCTTTTAAATATAAAGAAAAATATACTAAAATATTTCTAAGTTCCAAATAATAGTCCCTAGTATAGTATTTTTGAGTTCTTATTTTTCTTGATGTTTTCATGCCCTCAAATTAGTAGCTCCTGCCTTTATCCACACTTTACATAAATACAATTATACACAGAGAGATTTATAATACTGTCTGTGTATAAGTTAGTTACTGGTTTTGGCTGCACATATTCTAAGCAGAATATCTGAGTAACCAGATATAATATGGAGATATTTTCATGTACTTATTCTTGTTTAAAAACATTGGTGAAGACGATTTTCTGTTACCTCAACTCATTGACATCATGATGGAAATGTTCTTTTTGATCTATGGGTCAGCAAACTTTTCTGTAAAGGACCAGATAATAAATATTTCAGACTTTGCAGGCCATATGGTCTGTATTTCTACTAAATTCCGCTGTTGAAACATGAAAGCAGCCATCAACAATATGTGAGTGAATAGACATAACTATTCCAATAAAACTTTATTTACAAAAACAGATGGAAGGCTGGATTTGGCTCTAGGGCTGCAGTTTGCTGAGTTTGGCGCCCCCTGATCGCAAGTTTAATTTGTGTAAGACCCTGCAATGTTTATTCTGTATCATCTCTTTATGCTTAGATTTACATTAATTCATTTTTAAGATGTTTGAATTCATTTTAAAATATGTTTGTGTGTACAGTTGTTTGTATTTGTGTAACCTAAAGTTATATGTTTTATTGTCTTGGAAATAGATATACTCCTTTAGAATCTGTTTAAGTTTCAGGGTGATATGGCTATAATGAAAAAAGCAAAATTTTTGTTCAGCCAGTGTCTTTGCCTTGCATATTATTTAATGCCACAATTCCAGAGTCCCCATGCAAAAGGAAGGGTTTCTGTGGTGACAAAATATTATACACTTTTCAAGTTCTGCCTGCTCATTGAGATTAGACCAGGACTCTGGATTTCTGGAGCTGCAGAAATTCCTGAAATTGGGTACACTTAGAGCCCTACAGCAAGAATATGATAGAATTTCTAACTTCTGTGCTATAGAAACCATTCCTTTGAAAATTTTTAGGCAACAGAAAATGGGTTATGTGCCTCATTTGCCATTCAGTAGCCACTGTTCCTTTTTTAGACTGTGGAAGACTACTGATCCTGTTAACCCCTAAAGCAGCCTAAGCCCAAGGAGGGGAGAGAAAAGATGTATCCAAAGGGGATCTCCCTTCCTCTTTCCTTGCATAGCTTTCTGCACCTTTACAAGTCAATGGCATTATTTCAGAATGTACATCGTTTTTTTTTTAAACAAAACATCATTGAACCTCGAGCTTACACTTCCACTGTTTAACAACTAATCCATTTTAAACTTGGTTTGAGCTCAGTCAGCAATTGCAGAACTCATAAAATTATGTGACACCATATTACTAGTATATACGTTGCAATGCACCAGTCATTCTGAGAGATAATAGATTTTCACCAATAAATTAATCAATTATTTCACCATTTTTGGAAATGCTAGAGGAGGGGAAAGCCTGTATTCAGAGTGCTGGAGGGAGCAGAGATTTATTGTCTCTCTTCTACGTTGTAAATGAACTAACTGCCTTTCTAGGTCCTAGGGTTTCCTTCCACCTTACTATACAGGTCTTTTCAGTTCAGTGTGAATATAAGTGTGGATATACAAACACCCCTACACACATTCACCTTAATATATAGAGGGTTCTGAACAATTGCAACTGTCTTGCAGCTATCTGAATGCTACCAAATTCTACTGCAAATTGCATACCAGAAAAATCCATTAAGATAATCTCAGCTCTTTGTTAGGAAAAAGATTTTTTAGAAAATTTAGGAATTAGTTTTTGTTGGAAATTAAATGAAGTATCCCCAATTTTAATTATTGGATTTGGAAGTTGAAATGCCATTTTGCAATCTCATTGGTCTCAAAGTCACTGATACAATTTTTCCCTAAATAATAAATAGGGTAAGTATTACCTCCTAAATCAGATACCCACTGGCCGCTTCTGAACTGGTTTCCAGTCATGTCCTCCATAAGTAATTTTTACAAATTAAAGGTAATATTATTGTATATTAAAGATCAAATAAAGATGTTCTTTAAGTGAAAAATGTTTGTTTATCCTTTTCTACCAATGGACAACACCACAATTAAATCTTTTTACTTAGAGAACAGCAGCTTTGGCTTGTACTGGTTGTCTTCAGTCTCCCACATTTAGAGTATTCTTTGATTCAGCTAATCTTCACATTTCATAATGTTACAGAAAGATTAAGAGTAACTTGCTTAAAGGGAATTTTTCTTTATTACAACTGATTTTAAGAAAACAAACTATAGACCTGTGTAATACCCTAATAGTATTACTGTGCCTGCTCTCTCTTAGACCTAGTCCAATCCAGCTTCTGAAATCATCAAGCTTAAAGATTGCCTCAGTCACTGGACCTCATTGTCACATTAAAATCTGACCTGACCCTGCTTAAATGATTCTTGTCCAAAAATAGGCCTGAGGGACTTGAAGACTAGGATCAGCTGGACTAAAAATAGCGATTTAATTTATTATTGATGCTGTAAAAGCACAGGCTGTTTAAAATCCTGTACCTAAAGAGCATCAAATAAGGTAGTGATGAAGCCTGAAGTAACAGCCAATTTTGCATTCTTTGAGGTCTAATTCTTCCTGGCACAATGGATTTCAACGTGATCAAAATTTTAGACTAAGTAATTGCATTGTAGATGTATCAAAATTTATTGTGGACTTTTTTTTTCTTTCTTTTTTTCAGGAACAACTAAAACAGGATGAGGTAAAGTTAAAAGAAAAAGGAGCCCTGGGTGATTATAATTTTATAAAACCTGGGCTTCTTCCATTCTGCCAGATACTGAAATTTTTATCATTCCATTGGGTTGCAAAGGAACTGTCAACATGAAAATAGCATTCACATTAAGATTATAGGTACAGATCGTTTGAGTGAGCCTGTGCCTTACATGTTGGTTGACTTTAGACAAATTTCTTAAACCCACCAAGTCTAAATTTTCTTGTCATATAGTAGGGATAATATAGGATCCTTAGGAGAATTAAATGAGAAAAATCCATGTACCTGGCCCAAAATAAGTTCACAACTTTAGTTGTTGTTAATGATTTTCATTCCAGCAGATTGGAGTAATCATACCTAAAGGAATAGAAAAAAAAAATAGGGAGAGGTCAGTTGGAACAGGATAGTAAAGAGCCAAGAAAATGATCTAGTCCTCATTTTACACACAAGGAAACTAAAGCTGAAAAGGGGTAAAACAAAAGAGATTAGATGATCTTTAAGATGGTCTTCCAGGTTTATCATTCATGATTCTGTGAACTAAGACTACTACAGTTTTTGTTGTCATAAAAAGAAAAAGTTTAATGACATGCAAATATATTCAAAATGCATATGAACCAAGCAGTTTAAAACCTGTACAGAAATTGCTTTTTGTTACAACACAGACACAGCAAAAATACGCACTAAGAGTTAACCAGTTATCTTTGTGTGGTAAGGACATAATTTTTGCTGTTTGCTTGTTTAACTTAACACTTTATTAAGGCATGCTTTACATAAGAAAAAATTTTCCCATTGTAAGCGTACAATTAGATGATTTTTAGTAAGTTTATAGAGTTGTACAACCATTCCACAATCCAGTTTTATCCATCACCCCAAAAAGATGCCTATTGCAATCAATCTCCATTTCCATCCTAGCCCCAGGCAACCACAAATCTCTTTTGTCTCTATTGATTTGTATGATAAATGGAATCACACAATATGTCATCGTTTTTATCTGGGGTCTTTCAGTTAATGTCTTCAAGGTTCATCCATGCTGAAGCAAGTATCAAGAGTTTGTTCCTTTTTATTCCTGAAAGTATTTCATTGTATGGCTACACCACATTTTGTTTATCCATTCACCAGTTGATAGACATTTGGATCATTTCCACTTTTTGGCTAATATGAACAATGCTGCTGTGAACATTAGTATACAGATGTTTCCATTTTTCTTGGGTATATTATATACCTAGGAATGGAATTGCTGGGTCGTATGGTAAATTTATGTATGAATTTTTAAGAAACCACCATACTGTTTTCCAAAGTGACTGTGCTATTTTACATTACCACCAGCAATGTATGAGGATACCAGTTTTTCCACATTTTCACCAACACTTTTTATTGTCTTTTTCTATTATAACCACTCTAGTGTGTGTGAAGTATCTCGTGGGTTTAATCTGAATTTCCCTAATGACTAATGATGTTGAGCATCACTGCTTATTAGGCATTCATGTTTTTGGTAAAATGTCTATTCAAATATTTTGCTTATTATTAAAATAGGATTGTCTTGTTGCATTGAGAGTTCTTTAGTATTCTGGATTTATTTTCTCGTCATTTTTTTAATGGTATGTTTTGAAGTGCAAAAGATTTCAATTTTGAAGAAGTTCACTTTATCAATGTCATCTTTTATGGATTGTGCCTTTTTGCCTAATCCAAGGTCACAAAGATTTTATACCTATGGTTTCTTATAGAAGTTTTATAGTTTTAGCTCTTGGATTTATGTCTATGCTCCATTTTGAGTCAATTTATTGTATGTGGTAAGGATCTAAAATCATCTTTGCATGTGGATATCCAATCATCCAGTACTATTTATTGAAAAAACTGTATTTTCTCTATTAAATTGCCTTGGCACCTTTGTCAGGTATCAGTTGACTGTAAATGTAATGTTTTATTTCTAGACCCTCAATTTTGTTCCATTGATCTGTATGCCTTTTCCTTATGCCAATACCCTGCTCCAATACCAAAGAGCCCATAAGACGCACAGAATGAATGTTACCTAGAAACAATTTAAGGGACTCTCTAGGGATATATTTTTTAAATTATTCTCAAAGTTATTATCAAACTTTGGATGAGCCCAAAACTAATTAGCTTAGGCACAGCATTTTGAAACAGTTCAGCAGTAAGAATCCATAAATTTATGCCACCAGAGGGCAATAATCTCTTTTAAAAAAAAAAGTGTTTTCAGCTGGTTGGAGTCTGGGAGATTAGAGATGCAGTGAAGCCCCTCACAGTTTTCAGCATACCCTGATGGTGAGTAATGAGAGGGATGCGACAGCTTTGGGAGCTCAAGAAAACTTGCTGCACTGAGGACGTGCTGGGACCTACAGCAGCCCTGCCTGCCCTGGGCTCATGCCCCACTGAAACAAACTCAGTGATGAAATGTTTTCCAAACAGAAGACGTATTGCCTGGAAAGGACTTCCATTTCCTTCAAAACGGTGTGCACTTGACTATTAACCAAAAGGTTTGCAGTTCAAACCCACTCAGCAGCTCCACAGAAGAAAGACCTGGTGATCTGCTTCCATAAATATGACAGCCAAGAAAACCCTATGGGGTAGTTCTAGTGTGCAACACATGGGGTTGCAACAGGTTTTTCCTTCAAAACATGTCTGTTCTTCCTTTAAAGGTTTTGCACTAATAGGTAAGAGTTATTAGAAGATGAAAAAAAAATTTTCATACCAGAAGATAGGCTTAGAAAAATTCTAATTTGAACCTTGCAATGATTTTAGCTCACGGAGTAAATAGGTATGTTGTGGCATAGTATATTTAATATTTTATAACTGTAATTGCCCATGGTTAATTATACAACTACTTTTTCTGATTTTTTTTTAGCATTATTTAAACATTTAGTGAACATCTATGTGCTGGAACTGTGCAAGGCACTGAAGAAAGAGAGCCAGCTATGACAATGAACTTGTGGAGCTCCTAGGCTAGAGGAGGACAGACTGCCAAGCCAAAAATTATATTTTGCTAGTAAAGCTGTGTACTAAATGCATAGAGGAGAGAAACTGCTGAGGTGGGGGTAGTATTACAACGTAACTAGTAATAATGAGTCCTGATTATAAGTCTTTTCCTTGAAGCAGGAGAAGTGACTTTGCTTATGCAAGGATGAGGTTTGGGGGCTGGAATTGTTCCCTTTGGAGTAGGGAGAACCCCTTGGTGGGAAGAGAGAGTGGAGGGAGTGCAAATCACCCAAACTCAAGCTTTCAAAGAAGAATCAGCCATTCCTGAAATTTAAGGAATGAGAAGTTTGTTGGATGTAGTAGGAGTCTGGCTGCAAAAAGCAAGGGGAAGGACATTCTAGGAGAAGGAAACATATTTAAAGCACTGAGGCAAGAAGAAAATTGTAGTTTAAAACAACCTATTCTTCCAGGCAGGGCTGCAGAATAGTTAGCACAGCGTGTGACATTTCTGAGGAATAGCAAGGAAGCTGGAGTAGAATGAGCTGGGGAGAGTGGAAGGAGAGGAGACCAGAGAAGTAACGGGACCAAGAGCCTAAGACTTCGTGGGCCATTGTAAAGGTTTGGTTTTTACGCTGAGTGAGATGGAAGCCCCTGGAAGACTGAGCAGCGGTGCAACACAATCTGCTGGTTTCACACAATCGCTTTGGCTTCTGTGTAGACAAAGGATTATAGGGGTCCATGGTGAGAGAAGGGAAACCAGTTAGGCTATCCAAGTGAGGAATGATGGTGACTTACACCAGTAATGAAGGCAGTGATTTGGTCTATTTTGAAGGTAAAGCTGACATGATTTGCTCATGAATTAGATGTGGGTATGAGAGAAAGAAGTCAAGGTTAATACCAAAGTTTTTAACCTGAGCAATGAAGAATAGAGTACTATTTACTGAATGAAAAAGATTAAAGTTTAGGTGAAGTACAATTACGAATTTGTTCTTGAACATGTTAATTTTGCAATTCCTATTGAACAGCTGAGTGGACAAGAGGAATAATTGGCTATGTGAACCTAGAGTTCAGGAGAAGTCTGGGCTTGAGATAGAAATTTGGCTCATCATCAGCATATAGCCATTTGGACTGGTTGAGATCACTTAGGGAGTTAGTAGAGATAGAGAAAATAAATCATCCAAGGGCTCTGCAACTGAGCCACTCTAGAATTTGAAGATTTGGGAGATGAGAAGCCAGTGAGACTGTGGAGTGGCCAGTGAGGTGGAAGAACTGAGAAACCAAGAAACTTGTTCAGGAAGGAGAGAGTGAGCAACTGCTATGATAGATCAAGTAAAATGAGGACCAAGAATTGACTACTGGATTTGGCAACATGGAGCTCTCTGGTGACCTTGACATAAACAGTTCTGTGGAATGAAGGGAGCAAAACCAGCTCAGAGTACTTTCAAGAGGAAATGGGAGAAGAGGTGGAGACAGTGAGTATAAATGAGTTCTGCTGCAATGGGGAGCAGAAAAATGTGGTAGCCAAACAGAGGAGATAGGGGACCAAAAAATATTTACTTTTAGAGGGGTGTGTTGTAACGTGCTTATATTCTGATGGGAATGATCCAGTAGAGAGAGAACATTTGATGCTGCAGGAGAGAGGATAATTGCTGGAGCCATGTCCTTGGGTAGGCAGTGGGCATGCAATCTAGTGCACAGGTGGAAGGGATCGCCTCATGGCAGAGTTTGGAAAGTTGTCTTATTGTAACGGGGGAAAGCAGAGTATATGGAAAGAGATGCAGAAAGGAGCATAACGGGAGAGGGAAGCACATAGAAGTTTTCTTCTGGTTGCTTCTATTTCTCAGTGAAATAGGAAGGAAAATCATTTGTTAATAGTGGGAATAGAGAAGGTGGTCTTGGGGTTTAAGGAGAAAAGAAAAGATGAGAAAAAGGCTAAGTAGTTTGTTGGAAAGTGAGAGCATGGGAGGACTAGGGATATTGCCTCAATTTGATCATCTGTCAAATTGGAATAATAATGTTACCTCCTGACTTTCCACCAACCCTCCCACTGAGGACAATTTAAAACACCGAGTCAGATTTGAAAGAGATAGAAATAAATCGTTTAAAAATCATTGAAGAACTGAAAACGAATGAAGTTCCTAAAGCCAAAGAAGTAAGCCCAACACTCAAAGCCGCCTTTGACCCGCATGCCCTTGCTAATAAGGAAGAAATATCTGGGACACTGAGTTCTTTAGCTGTGCCTGAAGGGAGTGTCAAAATCTTTCCCTCATCAGTTGCCCACAGAAATCTCAATCATTTGGGCTCACCTTCAATTCTATGCGTATTTAGAGAACGCCCCCAGGCACCATCTTGAAAGGAATAGAGCGGAGCCTCTGTATTCAGGGATCTTGTGGGTGGTAAGGAAAGGGGAGTTTAGGCAACTGTCTTTGAAGGTCTGATTATAAAGGGGACCCAAGATGAGAAAG